CATTTGAACATTATCAAGTTATTAAATATTAATTGTTTTAATTCAATGGCAACGTGTCAGAAAGGAGGCCCATCATATTTAAAAAATTGAATATAGCAAAACATCCAAGCTATTTCATCTTTAAGTTAATAAACCTGTGCTACCTAACAAATATTTCAATATTCTTTATTTTATAACCACTGCATTCTCTATGCTATCTATAGATTAAGTCTGTACATCTGCTTGTGTTCTGTAGTTTATGTTATGAAACCACTGTTACCATCTTGTGATTTGTTCATAGTAAAAATCTTCTGCTTTTAAACCAACAGCATTACAAAAGGAGTATCGGCAGATTGGAAAAGCATTTCAGAACCTTTCATCAGTTTTCAACACTAGTGCATACCCAAGTAGGAAACTGGAGCTTTGTTCTTTAAAATGCTCTCATAGACATGTTTTATATTACATATACAAATATTTTTGTATTATCTATTTGTATTATCATGATTATTATCTAATCATGTTTTGTTGATGTGTTTTTTTGTACCTTAAGGGGAATACACTCTGACGGAAGCATTGACTGCAACAGGAAAAACGTATGAGGAAATAGCAGAACTCGTTGCAGGACAGGTATCAGAAGTACAGTATTTCCTCACATGAATACTTCAACAAACCGTCCAGTCCTTGAACCTCTACCAGTGTCATTTACTCATCATTAGCATGTTTCCTCACATCCTGTGCTGTTGATAGAATTGTAACCACAAGGCTACCCTGTGATAGTAACATCCATGATAGCTGTTTTTAGCATTATCCATGAGTTTAAACATTTGTTTCAATAAGATAACATTTGTTTATCAGCCAAAAAAAGATCTACACTTCCTGATGGAGACAAACAACGAATACAAGGGACTACTAGGCTGCTTCCCTGACACAGTAGCAGTTCACAAGGTATAAACCATTCACCTTTTGCCTTTCAACATTTAGTGTTTTATTTTTTTTACTTTAATTTAAAGGTACCTTTTCAGAAGAAATGGAAAAAGTAATATACATTCATATATATATATATATATATATATATATATATATATAAAATTGTATTGATTTTACTTTTATTGATTTGTATTTTTCCCCTCTTGTTTTAGCTTCGTTTGCTACTAATAAGGTTTAATGTCGATGCTCTTCAGTGTTTTCCTGAAGTTTTTTTTGTACAATTTAATATCAGTCCTTTAAAAAAAAAACATGGTACATGACCAAAAACAAGGTTTTACCATGGTATTTTTGTCAGTGTGGTTATTTACTTGTTATAGGCCGATCTCGGTCGGGTGATGTTTGTTATCAACGTTACAAATATATCGCTGTTACAATATTTATTTAAAATTGTATTGGTTTTACTTTTATTCATTTGTATTTTCCCCTCTTGTATTAGCTTCGTTTGCTACTTATAACGTTTAATGTCGATGCTCTTCAGTGTTTTCCTTAAATTCCTTTAAAAACAAGAGCAAAAAAAAATAAAACATGGTACATGTCCAAAAACAAGGTTTTAACATGGTACTTTAGTCAGTGTTGTTATTTACTTTGATGTAGGCCGATATGTGTCATCGCCGTTACAAATATATCGCTGTTACAATGTAACATAAGTGGAACGCAGACAGACATGAGAAGAAGATGAGAGTAGCTTCCTGCAGGATGTGAGCGCGTTGCGCTGTCTGGCCCCGCCCAGGAGGAGTGACCTCAGACCGGAGACCGATCTCTCCAGCGTCCCTCCAGCGTCCGCCGCTTCATCGGCGCACTTTCCCGAGATTAACGTTTGGAATATAACGGCGTTCCGCGCACGGTAAGTAAGTAACACGTACACGTCACCGGCGGATTCTGCCGCTACAACGCGTTTCCCGGGAATCCGCTCAAACTGTTAGAGAACACAGCGCGGTGTGCCGCGTCTTCGGCGGCTGTCGGAGGAAGGGAGCTCGTTCCTCTCGCTCCTCAGCAACTTTCTGAACGCTTGTGTCCGTTAAACGGCTCGGTTTGCTCGCATACTTTCTACTGCGGCATTTCCAGGCGCTGCGGCTTCGGCTGTGTTTCTGTGCGAGTGTGTTTGCTCGGAGTTGTTGGGGTGATGTTGTCTGTCTGTGTGAGTATCGATCTGTGATAAATCAATAAATCGATGCGCGGAACGCGGGAGCGTTATTTGTCCTCGATGCGTTCAGACGCGAATCGGAACGTCGAACTGTACCATACATGTGACCCTGGAGCACAAAACCAGTCATAAGGGTCCATTTTTTGAAATTGAGATTTATGCATAATCTGAAAGCTGAATAAATAAGCTTTCCATTGATGTGTGGTTTGTTAGGATAGGACGATATCTGGCAAATCACTAATCACAAATTAAGTTTTGATATATTTACGGTAGGACATTTACAAAATATCTTCATGGAACATGATCTTTACTTAATATCCTAATGATTTTTGGCATAAAAGAAAAATGTATAATTTTGAGCCATACAATGTATTGTTGGCTATTGCTACAAATATACCCCAGCGACTTAACACTGCTTTTGTGCTCCAGAGTCACATTTATCGTCATATTTGGCTTCTGTTGCAGATAATACTTGTGTTGTTAATAACAGCTACTAATGTGGTCTTATTTCTGGTGTTTGATATTGTATTTGTATATCGTTCGTTACTTAAACGGTTTGACAACTATCAGAACTCGATATTTTCATCACATCCTGTGTTTAGTTTCCATATAAAACATCTGTGGAATGTAAGCAAAGTTAAAAGTAGAGTCTCCATGGTAATACCGTGGTATTTTGGTATGATATGAATTACCATGTTAATGATATTTACAGTGTACCTCAAAGAATGCCTTGGTTTTACCAGGGTAAATGACCCAAAACTGTGGGTTTTTTACTGGTAAAAGAGTCTTGATGTTCTTCAGCTCATGATTTTATGGCGTCCAAACAAATCAGCATCAGAACAAAGTGTGTTTATCGTTTGCATGAGCTGCAGTTCCTTTTCCTCGTACAGAGAATGGCTTCAGGTTTTGTGTTATTTGACTTCTTTAATATTGACATGCATGTCGCACAGTTAACCTCGCTCAAGAATGTTCCTCATTTTAAATCGAGATGTCTGCTCCGCATTATGCAGCGCTGTGCTTTAAACAGCAAGGCTTCGGTGGCATTTGAGCTTCTGCTTTGATCAGGTGCATTAGTGAGAGTTTTTGTTCTGGTACCTGTGTGTTGGAGGAAGAGTTCTGTTCTGCCTGTCTGATCCGCTGGACAGTTTACCTGCGGCGCTGTCGTGCACGCACGCATTCACACTGACAGTTGTCAGACAGATGCATTTTATCTGCTCTGCTGCAGACGGCGCCTCATTTTAAAGTCAGCATGAAATATAAATTCACAATGCATCGATGAATATTTTTCATTTTTACTTTTTTATAACCTAATTTTATTTCTGTGAAATGACAGATTCTCTCTGGTGACATCTGCCAATCATTTGTTCTCTAAGACCCCGCCCCTTTCTTACAATCAGCTTCAAGCTCACATTAAGCTCCGCCTCTGGCTTTGAGAGCCACGCCCACATCTCAACATCCAATCAACAACGGATGCACTGAGATGCAGTGATTTGTCGCTTGTTCTGTTTCATTGCGACTTTAATTGCTAAAACCCGTTCAGACCTTCATGAATGTTTGTCTAATTTTTGCATGCGATTTTCTCGATACGTAAAAAAGGGAAATGGTCTAAACGGTAATGCACAATTACTGTCTGACAGTAGAAGAAATGTTTAGAAAATCAGAAATACCAAGTTACTCCAAGACACAAAATGCTACGTAACTTTACGTTACTGACGTCCACTCGTTACGAAGAGTCAAACAGTATTTGTGTGTTTTCAAACACGTAATTCAGATTTTTGTATTCACTACATGTTTATCAAACTTAGTAAAATACTAAATACAGCGCCACCAGGTTGTGGTTTCATGTAACAGCAGCATTTCTGAGCATGTGACCAAAGGTGTCAATCCTATTGGTCGGCTAGTTTTCTTTGCAGTGTGATGGAAAGCGATTGCATCTCCTCTTTGTAAAAATGTCACATTGACAGCATGCATATGTTCGCGTCGGTCTAAACAGATGCATTAACAGCCACTCATTCAAATTAAAATGTTTATGGCACTGAATATCCGTCTTGGTGTGAACAGGCCGCAGAAATGAGATTGTTACTCATGTAATATTAACAGGCTGGGTAAAACAGATGACGTCTTTATTAATTAATATGCTCCGCACACGGTGATTGACATCAAAAGCTGTTTTCTGAGCAGTGCGGCGTCTCTGGATTTTCACAAACACCTGCGGCTGTGTAATCCATGCGCTGTGTTTGCTGCAGACGTCGAGTTGAACAGTGACCCCGGTTTACAGTGTGAGTTTAATCTGGGCACAGACCTGTTTACAGCGCGCTTTACAGCTTAACGTGGGTGCATGAGATTAAAACTCTGTGTGTGTGTCGGTGCATGCATCTGCTGCAGGTTTACAGATGCAGTGCTGCAGCAAGTTTTTTGCAATGCAACACAAATTTTAGTGATTGCAAAAGGCTTGTTTTGTTATTTTTGTGACAACTTGCATTTGCAATAAACTTCGCTCTGAAGAGCAAGTGGCACACAAATCTCCTTTTTTGCTGAGCCACGACAGACACAATTCGTTTTTCCTTTTCCAGGCAAACATTGCCCACATCAGCACAAGCGCTTTTTAGTTCTATGTGTCAAAAGGATGTCAGAACGCTATTAGTCGTGACCAAAGTCTGACGTAGGAGGTGGTTGATGACTTTTACCCATCAGCCTGTGTGTATATTAGTGTGTTTACATACGTTTCTGCCCCATGTGAGAGCTATTAATGAGCCTCTCAGCCAATCAAATACAGCCTTACATCCTGTACAGGAAGTGACCTCACAGGCCGGGCTGGTAACTGTGTGTGTGAGAAAGAAGGAGACTCTGTATTAGACTTTTCCTTGCATTGTTGTTAGGTGAACATGAGCCAAAACACACAAGTGCTTCAGAGATTGCATGCATTTCCCAGTTTTTGCTGCAGTTACACAAAATAATCAACGTCAGAGTTGACTTTAATGCAGACTAACCAAGCATCATGTTGACTTTAGTCAGAAACATAATGTGAGACATGTGCCAGTACTACAGCTTTACTTAATATAAACGGTTCATCATAATTTTTACTACCACCCTCATATTGCATGCATTTGCAATAAACTTCGCTCTGAAGAGCAAGTGGCACACAAATCTCCTTTTTTGCTGAGCCACGACAGACACAATTCGTTTTTCCTTTTCCAGGCAAACATTGCCCACATCAGCACAAGCGCTTTTTAGTTCTATGTGTCAAAAGGATGTCAGAACGCTATTAGTCGTGACCAAAGTCTGACGTAGGAGGTGGTTGATGACTTTTACCCATCAGCCTGTGTGTATATTAGTGTGTTTACATACGTTTCTGCCCCATGTGAGAGCTATTAATGAGCCTCTCAGCCAATCAGATACAGCCTTACATCCTGTACAGGAAGTGACCTCACAGGCCGGGCTGGTAACTGTGTGTGTGAGAAAGAAGGAGACTCTGTATTAGACTTTTCCTTGCATTGTTGTTAGGTGAACATGAGCCAAAACACACAAGTGCTTCAGAGATTGCATGCATTTCCCAGTTTTTGCTGCAGTTACACAAAATAATCAACGTCAGCGTTGACTTTAATGCAGACTAACCAAGCATCATGTTGACTTTAGTCAGAAACATAATGTGAGACATGTTGCCAGTACTACAGCTTTACTTAATATAAACGGTTCATCATAATTTTTCTACCACCTTCATATTGCATCGAGGACGAATGTCATTAGTTATGT